CATTCCACTTGATGACCGGCTAAAGTGTTGTTCATAAACCCGTGAAAATAAGTGTAACAAGATCAGTCGTATTGTTAAATATCGTGTGGGTTAGAGCCGATTTCGCATGACTCTGCAACGGCACGGATCACAACACGGACACGGCACGGCACGGTCACGKGACCTCGCCTTCTAGGATTCAAAAAAAAGTTATAAAGATTTAACAATACATCACCGCTACGACACGGTAAGATCACAGCGCAAAAGTACCGTGTTTTTTTTTGCACAGTCATACGAAAATCAAATCCGCTCTATGATTTTACCACAGTGACTGTCAGTTATCAGTATTTCTATATGACTACCCCCCCTCCCCTCTATATTTAACCGTTTTGAGCTTTGATTGAAATATCAGACAAAGGCTCTCACCTCTTGTTTTTTTTTTGATATATTCAACGATTCCCTGGCAAAATTTCAGCCGATTTGGTTGCGTTTAAAAACCTTTCTCTATCTCTTTTGTTTGGTTAGGTGAAAGGRCGAGTTCAAAAATAAAGGGTCTTGATTTATAACTCTTAACCTTTTGTTGAATATAGTGAGTATGCCGAAATGGTCGACGTTACGCTATGCATGCTGGGCCTCTAGATGTTGATATTCAAGTCATTCTACCAACGTACAATTTCTCCTCTGTAATTAAAAAACATTCCAGTTTTGRTTTCATCAAGTGATGTAATAACTTTCATCAATCCCGTGACACTCTCTGCAGTTGAAATGAGTGCTCYYGGACCTCCTATTTCTGTCTGTACCCACCCTGGATGAAGTACAAYGGCCATTATTCCAAAAGGCTTCAGGTCGATGCTTAAYGACTTGTTGATCAYATTTAATGCTGATTTGCAGGCACGTGCAGAATATGCACCACCCGAAGCATTTTCCTCGATAGAACCATAAGCAGAAGACATATTTAGTATCCAGGCTTTAAGACTGCTTTTGTCGTCAGTATCTGCGGCTGCTTTCTTCAACAGTGGTAGGAATGCCTGCACCAGSATGAGAGGAGCCACGGTATTTGTTTTGTAAATGTTGACCATGGAATCTACAGTTACTTCACCGATCGGAGTTTTATCAAACGTGSCTGCATTATTTATCAAAMMATTCAGTCCTTTTCCRTCAAGAATCTCTGYAACTTGTTCCACGACTTTAGGGAAAGAATCGAAATCAGTGACATCTAGTTGTAGAACGTGTAGGTTGCTATGGTTCGACTGCAGCTGCTTCAAGTCTGAGGCAGACTCGGGACTTCGYGCTGTAGCRAWAACRTGTTCTGGAGCTGGTGATAGGTTAAGAAATGCCTTGACAAGCTCTAAGCCAATGCCACGGTTGGCTCCAGTTATAAAGACACTACGACACTGAAAAGACATCGCAAGTGCGTTTACAGATTTTTACAAAATTTTATTTTTCTCCCCACTCCCCGCTCGGCCGGCCCTCCCCAATCCCCTTAGGGCCGCTACGCAGGCTAGTTTACAGAGTACTAAGAATCCGCTCAGGTCATCCGATTTCCGAGTGGGGCGCTTTCAAAAATATCGCAGGCGCACGTGCAGAGTTCCGAAGATTGCTTTAAATGCTGCCCGAAAATAGCACGTTGTCATTTTTCAGATGATGAAAATAATTCTTATTACAATAAAACTATCTTGAAGTTGTTATGCATTTACTTATTGTATTTGTTGCAAAAAAATATAGAAAATATTTGTTGAAGATTTCAATTAATACTGGGCTGCCTGTGTTACATGATGTTGCAGGGTATTTGATAAGCAATTTCAATTATTCGCGTCCGACCTTTATGAACTTTTGCGGGTGATAAAAAGTTTCCGACGAGCATCCCTGGTAATGTTTCCACGGAGTCGCCCTCTTTTTACATAACCAGCGATTATTATATTTCTTGAAGTTGTTATGCATTTACTTATTGTATTTGTTGCAAAAAAATATAGAAAATATTTGTTGAAGATTTCAATTAATACTGGGCTGCCTGTGTTACATGATGTTGCAGGGTATTTGATAAGCAATTTCAATTATTCGCGTCCGACCTTTATGAACTTTWAAGGCACTCGTCTGCGGTCTCATATTTCATATATATAGATCGATTTCACGTGACGTCACACGTATCTCGGTCGAATTTATGCTAAAATCCATGAAAAACTGACTAAACWATCGAATGTAGCGTAACYTTGCATACATTTACATGTGATTTTGAAATATGATATGTCCGCCAATATGGCGGCCAACCACCAAGTGATCACGTGGGTGAAATCGATCTATACTCAGCCGGCCACTTCGAATGTTCTCACTTACTGCATCCTTCACCACACTTCACGTATCGRTAACTAATTGGAATGTCTTGCCTTTGTAATAGAGTCTTTATAACTGGAGCCAACCGTGGCATTGGCTTAGAGCTTGTCAAGGCATTTCTTAACCTATCACCAGCTCCAGAACATGTTATCGCTACAGCGCGAAGTCCCGAGTCTGCCTCAGACTTGAAGCAGCTGCAGTCGAACCATAGCAACCTACACGTTCTACAACTAGATGTCACTGATTTCGAYTCCTTTCCTAAAGTCGTGGAACAAGTTKCAGAGATTCTYGATGGAAAAGGASTGAATGTTTTGCTGAACAAYGCAGGAATASTTGAGCGATCTCCGATTGGTGAGGTYACTGTAGATTCCATGGTCAACCTTTACAAAACAAATACCGTGGCTCCTCTCATGCTGGTGCAGGCATTCCTACCACTGTTGAAGAAAGCAGCCGCAGATACTGACGACAAAAGYAGTCTTAAAGCCTGGATACTAAATATGTCTTCTTTTCTTGCTTCKGTGGAGGATAATGATATTGGTGGCTTGTACTCTTATCGYGCAAGTAAAGCAGCATTGAATGTGATCAACAAGTCGTTAAGCATCGACCTGAAGCCTTTTGGAATAATGGCCRTTGTACTTCATCCWGGSTGGGTACAGACAGAAATGGGAGGTCCGGGAGCGCTTATCTCCACGACAGAGAGYGTYACGGGATTGATGAAAGTTATTACATCACTTGATGAAACCAAAACTGGAATGTTCTTGGACTATAGAGGAGATATTGTGCGTTGGTAGAATGGATGACTTGAATATCAACAACAGCACAATTTCTTACTAGTATTGAAGCAGGACTCATAAATGTACATTTGAAAAAAATAAKAAAAAATATTGTAAAAGGTAATGATAAAGGAATTTTCTTTTAAAATTAAAGCAAAATGTATTATTTTGATTTGCACTGCCAGTATTTTGCTTGCYCTCTAGAAATACATCAAGACTGGAAATAATCTGAATAAACTAGCTTTTATACAATAAGAAAAGGAATACTACTTAAATTKGATTTTTCATTATATAATTTACGCGGGGTTTGTAATTGTCCCGCGCCTCTCCTAAAATTCCCGGCCKTCAGGTGTTGGAGCGGGTTGCGGGGGGTTACTATTGTTATTTAAGATCTTTAAGCACATATACGCTGCAGAGACATCAATACCAGAGACTAATATTATAGGTTTATTATCATATAAATAAATAAAAATTGATAAAATATTCAAATAAATTAATTACATCTAATCTGCGTAAAATATGATACAAATATTAATGTAAAACTAATCAATGCAAGATATYTACAATAGAATTCCAGTTATAAGTCAGCTATAAGTCTCGACGGATTCTGTTGAATGCGAATCCCGCTTCAAAGGATTTGAAGGTATATTTGAGAGTAAAAGTGTTAAATATCTTTCGCTATTCTATAAAAAAATTTTTGTTTCACTCTCAGCATGCTCATAACTATCAAAATACGATCTCGACATACTTTATCCTTGGAAACCGTATACCAGTTGCCAAACTGTTTAAAAAGTACGAAATATTGATTATAGGTCATGACAAGTAAAGGGTAGGCTACCAGATATCAAATTTAATTCTTTGTTTAATAGTTTTAGGTAAGGGAAGAATATCGTAACCGTACAATCCACACGACCTACCAGTAACGTCACGAATTACTTGAATGCATAATTGTTCAAGCCCCATGGGTAGAACGCCATATTCAGATAACAATTCTCTTGCTTTCTTTGACTGGCACCTGCCAATCGGTGTTACCCCCTGAAAATCGCATTGAAATACGTTCGCCCCGCACTGCGCTAGAACAKCTAAAGCGTTGTCATGGCAATGGCTTGCTGCCAAGTGAAGAGGCGTGTACCCACAATACATTTCAACAGCGTTTACATTAGCTCCATCGAGACATAGAAGCTTTACAACCTCTGTGTTTCCATGTAAAGCGGCAACATGAAGGGGAGTGTGACCTGCGTGATTTCGTGCGTGAACCTTGGCGWGTTTTGCGAGGAGTATTCTTGTAAACTCACTGTTTTTTATTAAACTTGCGAAGTGAAGAGGTGTGTCTCCATGAAAGACGTCGCTCGTCAGATTGACATCAGCACCTAGTTCACAAATTGTAGAAACTATCTCGGCTGATTGGTCACTATCGTCGCGTGACAAAGCTAAAAGTAACGGAGTGTAGCCGCAAGGATTGGTGCAGTTTATGTTCGCACCACGTGACACAAGGGAACGCATTCGTGACGTTGACGAGCCTACTATCACTGAAGCCAGTAGTTGAGAATTTAAAGCTTCGATGCTTGGATACTGATGGCAGTTGTTATCGTATCGTCGTCGCTTGAAATGGCGTTCTGAAAAATTAATCAGTTATAGCTTATACAAATTTTTAATTACCCGGGTTTGTTAAGGCTGATTTACACGGCAAGATTGTCTCGTGCGATTTGTAGTATACGACTTAAATCGCGCAGTGTAAATGCCCCTACTTGTCTACAACAGTCGTACGCAACCTACGACTTGTAGTAGGAAAATCGTATACTACAAGTCGCGCGCGACAGATCGTACCGTGTAAATCAGCCTTTAGATTTTGAAAGTGAATGGTCTGAAACCAGACAAGCGATGTAGGTGTGGTATAATCGTCTGGGTGTAAAAAGTCTTGAGGAAGACTGYTATATTTACCTGACTTTTCGACATCCTGCTTCTCTGAAGATGACTTCCACGCAGAATGTCGAAACGTCAGGTAACCAGGTAACAGTCTTCCTCTACATTGGAAGACTTTTTTCCGTATACATGCAAGCAATTAGTAGATTAGACGCGGCAAAAGATCGRCTTTTGAGCTGGACAATAGAGTTTCATATTTTTGATTTATTCTTGTGTTACAAATGAAAACTATATTTTCCCAATATATCTTTTAAGGTGATAAAAACATCTTACATAACGGTACAATCTTGTACGCCTCTATTTTTTAACGGTAAACTGCTTGGAATGCATTTGATTGGTTTCCTTCGAAAATACTTTCTTTTCATGCATGCGATGTACACTTACCTCTTCTTCTTGGCCATGCCGCCATATTATTCCCACCTAAGATGCTATAACGATACAAATTCTGTGTCATTTTGATTCTTGTTATAAACATAAACCATTCATGAATTTTTAAACTATRAAATTGGCAACGAACCGTGTCCAGAAACGCAATCTAAAATCAAGAATGGAGGAGATTTGAAACTYATCTTTAGATTTACCATTTAAAGGGTGGCTCTACATAATCATAATTGATAACAATCTAATGTCAATTTCAAGAAGTTGATGTTCAAAATTTCGCGGGAAAGTTAAACTACGTCAATCAGTCACGCACGCGCATGTATTCTATTTGTCAACAATTGTAACGACGTTACTAAAATTCAAAACTGTTTTGAAACAGACTATTCTCTTTTATTCTCGATATCTTAATGCGGTTGAATATTACAGGCTGTAGTTTCTTTAGGCCATTAAAAGTAGGATCGATTACACAAGATTTGCTGTTGGTTTATAAATTGATTTAAAGAAGAAGTCACGACCAAAACGTTCAGCTTCGTTCATAATGAAAATAAAAAAATGAGATTCTTACTTGAGAACTTACTTTATCAATTCTTCCAGACGTCCAGATTCAGCGGCTGTCGCTCAAATGTCAATAGAAAATCAAAAATAAGCGTAGATGTCGAGGATTTATATTTTCCCTGTAGTTCTGGGCTGACAGTGTTGTGAATAGACCGGTTCCCTTTGTTCGACTATATTTTATCACGTCATGCATTTCATGTTTATATTACTCTCGCGTTCAAGGAGACTGGGAACCATAGAGTRTTTTCAAGATGGCGGCTTTGTTGAAGACAAATGGATGCAGAGACATTGAAAGTTTGTTAGAATTGTGCGATGTTTCTTTGGAAAAGATACATGTAGATGATTGCGAAAATAATAATTCCTCAAAGGTATTTCAGTCAATAATTGATTATTAAACTTTTAKCTAAATTATACCATTGAATTGTCTTTTTCTTTTTTATAAACACATTAAGAATTACTTAAAGCTGATTACTCAAGTTACTTACATTTTTATAGTTTACACTTTGTGGATTTTTTAAGAGAAAGTATGAGTTATTTGTGCTTGTTGTCAATTTCTAAACAAAAGAAGAGATAAAAATTTACATAAACACAACATTATAATAGCAAAAAGGAAGAAAATTATTAAAAGAAATAAATCAGTACATTAACATTTAACATAAATGCATATAAATAACACAGGTTCCAAGTTTGACTTTRYGTTCTGGTGTAACAGTTCAAGGTCTGCATACCATTGCAGTATACATTGCTAGTGTTTCCACAACTGGCGATGAACTTCTTGGAGATACCCCTCTTGGAAGGGCTGAAGTTCATCAGTGGCTGGAGTATAGACAGAAACAGGTTGAACAGGCTTTACTGCCTGACAAAAGTTATTTCAAACCCGTTTTACAGGTGTGTAGAATTACAAATTATTCAAGCAAGAGTTGAATCGAGGGTTGTTGCCCAAAAATAATTACAGCAAAATGCCCAAGACTTCAACCGCTCTAGCCTCCTCCGCATTTACCTATTTACACTTGCRCTGTAACAATCGCAAGTGTAAATGGTACTTTTCTCTGTCTTGAGTTGTCTGGGAAATAATTACAAAAGACATTGGGGGAAGTCTTCATGCCTCTTGCCAAAGGAAKCCCAACAGCTAGTAAAACTTCCTTGTGTAGAATTTCCAGAGGAGGAAGCTACAACTGCTCTRTTGTTTCTGAAGCAAGCAAAAATGCATGCAACCAATTCAGAGAGTACAGGAACATTTCTGTTATGTGTAATCAGGATGTCGCTCTCTGCTCTTTACAAATATGTTTATTATTTTGTATGATTTATGCTATTCTGTTTTTGCCCAGGATTTGAATTGCCATCTTGTAAATAAAGTGTACTTGGCAGGCCAAAAGTTATCCTTAGCAGACATTATGTYCTATTATRCGCTRCGCAATGTGTTATCTGATATGATGCCACAAGACAAAGAAATGTACATAAATATTTCACGTTGGTTTCGACAGGTATGGATTATTTTCTRAAGACTCTTTTGCAAACAGTGTGTGGTGTGTTGCTTACATGTAGCATGCAATATCAGTCTTMCCAGAAACTTGTGTGTTGACCCCTRGGGTTCTGGCAACATTAATAAAAATTAACAGTAGCTTTGGAGAAGGYTAGGTGGGAATGATGTGAAGAATTACTTAATATATTACATGGACTAAAGGCACTCATAGGCCTTCCCTTCAGCAGGAAAAGTTGAGGAACTCCGTCAATTTTGAATAGTGCTTGGGAAATACTGCTCAATAAACTATGTAATGTACTCAAAATAATAGAAAGTGTTTCAYTTATTCACTTATTTTTCCAGGTTCARTCTCTACTSTCAGCAAGGCAAGGTTTACCRAAAGTCTCCTTTCATAGGAATCTATTGTATTCTTGACATTAAAATGAAATAAAATTATTGTAATCATGCTGTGGATACTTACTACTAATTGCATCATAAAAATGTGGAAAAGCAAATGGAAATACTTTGTCTGTTAAGAAAGAAGAAATTTAATTTGATGGAACATGGAGCAACGAAGAACAAGTAAACTAGAAGGAGAAAACTACCACTTCAAAATTGAAATAACTTTATTTATATTTGATTTTTCAATCATTTCAATCTATTTACAGTCTATAACATTCTAACATGTCTACAATGCATCTTGTAAGACAAATATTATGGAATTTTAAGAAACCTAACTTTCAGCTTTGTATGAACTGATCTTTCCTGTTGTTCAGATGTCAGTTTCAACTCTTAATATCTAACAATTAGGAACATGTTTCCGACTGGACTACATTACATGACTGTGAAACCTCATACTATAAACAAAAGCACTCATTCACTCCATCTTCCTCATAAAGATCTGTACATATTTCAATCTTTTACATCCTTGACATTAGTATTTTATGATCAGTGACCAGCAATTTGAGGAATGGTGTGTTGGCTGTTCAAGCAGGAAAAAATAAATTCTTTGAAATTTGAATTTGAAAAAATCAAAAGTTAAGTGATTCCACAAGCTTCACTAGCCATAACAAGGTAGACTCATGATTAGTTGTAATAAAAACTGTCACTAATAGCCACATTGGTTGATATTTTCACAGTCATATAAAACCATTACTATGAAATTATAAGCTAACATATAATCACTTGGCCTTGGTTCTACAAAGAGTTCCACACTGCCCAGATTTTCTAAGGATTTTATCTACCAGAATGCAGTGGCTAGTGCTACTAACACTTCATACACCTTGGCCCTTAAACATAACCTGGAGATACTAGATATGATAGTATTAACACGACGTCCTTCTTAGGTACTGTACTACAAAGATTCCTGAAACATTTTATTTGTAAATATTTTCCATAGAGTGATTTTCATAAACCCATGAAATCCAAATTACTTTTTATTGTGTATTTTTTCTTTGCTTTGCTTGCAATTTATTACACTTAGTGTAATGGGTTTTTGAAAAGCATTCTCACAAATTTCAGTATRCAAGACTTGCTGTAAAGCATTATTTTTGTCAGTAAATCAAGTTATAAGAATTTAGAATTGCTATCTAGTCAGRCAAAAATATCTGTTATGACCAAAAACTGCCAGACTACTAACTTCCAACAATTATTAATTACCTAAAGTGTGAAGTATAGTAATGCCTCATGGTCAATGCCACTGATAATTTCTGTTCTTACCATTATTGGAAAATAATGACCAGACTACCTGACTCACTTTCATTTACATGACATTCTGTTATCAGTTAAGCCACAATAATAACTCAAATTAAAGACTAAGTTACTTTCTTTTCTGCTGTCACAAGGAAARTCTTTGTTTGTAATGATGTATTACACAACTTGTTGTCTCTTCATACACACATCAGGAAAAAAAGTTGACAAAACCAATGTATTGTAACTGCACCTTGCATTGCTCATTAACATTAGTTAACTTCTGTAGACTTCTCTGCTTGCTTTTTCAGTAGTAACAGAAACATGATGCTTTGTGTAGATTGTGTACAGATTATGGTCATAAAAGCTGCAGTTTAATTCACACACATGGTGCAAAGCTGAGCCGCTGTTATGCAGTCATCATGACAAAAAGCGCCACACATGCGGCAAACTTTCATCGCTTTCAACTGACATCCACAGTTTTTAGGCATCAAAGCTGTWAGTCCACTAACAGTCTTTGCATTGCTTGGTAATAAACTTGAAAGTGGTCGACTTGAGGTATCACTTTTGGACAAGAATAATGGATCCTTAGGGAAATTGACTGTTGCATTACTAGCTTGCTGAGAAACAGGAACACCAAGTGAATTTAGCGTAAGAGCAGGGTTAATGTCTTCAATTCTCTTGGAGATTGGAGTTGTAGGATTGTTTTTATGTTTCAATTTTGTGTTGGATTTACTTGGTTTCATGTCAACAGGTATTTTTAGATCTTTCTTCTTCGTTAAAAGTTTTAWAACTGGAAGAATGTCTTCTGGTTCAGAAGTCCTTAAAGCAGTCAGTGCCTTAGCAACTTCAGCAGAATGCAGTACCATACTRACAGCACTTATCTTGGCCTTTGCTTTACTACTCAATGACTTGGCAGCTTCAGACCGCTGYAAAGAGCCAACTCGCTTTTGCTTGACTAAGTCAGTCTTTGACTGCAGCTTTTTGATGGGGACWGTCAATTGTGGTAAGAATGTGTTATTTAGTTTTTCTGGTTTAAGGTGTAGAGGGAGAGGTAAGTTATCTGATTGAGTGTTTGTCAGACTTCTGTCAACTAGACTTGGTGGCTGCCAAAACCTTGCAATGTTGTCRCAGTTATCAGACTCTGGTGTTAGACCAGGAAATAATGGAAGCATGTCGTTGTCAAGCCTTGACAAAGACCTGAAAATAGAAATTTAGGAGTTTCAAATGTATACACATACATGATAATTACTAATATYCTTTTTATAATGGTCCAGCCAGCACTGATTGCCATGGGTCCCATGATAGGTTGARTAAACAATGGACAAACAATAGAAGTCTTCCAACAATAAAACAAAACCTAACAAGCGAATATACGAAAACAAAAACAGAATTTAAGAAGCAACCTAAACCAGACAAAGTCAAGATTGTGCAAAACAGGAAGTAAAGTCGGACACTTTTGTATAAACTACAGTGCAATTTTATAGTAATTCTAAAAAATAAATATAATCATATAAATCTAAGAATAACATGCACTTACTTTTGGCCCCAAACAGGTTCAAAGTACTTAGCCTGTTTATGGGGGAAAGAGACAAAATGTTAATAAATGTSTAATAAAAAAACTATTGAATTATCATTATTGATTTTATAAATAATATCAATTTACCTTCCAAGGATCTATCTTTGTTAGCTTTTCTTCTTCTGTTTTGAGTTTTTGCTGCATCTCTGGAGTAAATTCACCTTTAAAGTAACAAAAAGCGCATTAATAAAAATCAATCATGTTTCATCAATTCTTGATGAAAAATGCAGCCAGGACTTACCATCCTTGAGTCGATCTCTCCATAAATGACAAGTGCTWGTGAAGAATTCATTTGTAAAAGCTGTTTGAGATGGCCTGAAGATACACAGAAGAATATTAATAATTCTATATCAATGAGTTTTAGCTTTTTTTCTGTTCTAAAACAAATTTAAGTGGTTTTGAGGAAGGAATGGGAGACAATTTTTGCCTGAACCTGAACTGGGATATTGGCCCGCCATTAAATTATTAGGCAGATCTCTTTCTGGCCATATTACACAGAGATTGTAATAAAACTGGCCAGCAGGAAAAAACAAACTTTTGATTTGATGTTTGCTTTGACAATACATTCAAGCCTTGAATTTACCCTGTAAACTACTGATTTWGCCGATTTTACCAACGGTATCGTCATTATCATTGATGATTACCTTARGCCGCCATCTTGTCCAACAACACGATCAACTTTTGGCAACAGCATCAGCAGTTGGTACTGATATGCTGGGGGTAGAAGGTTRAATGTCCTATTGTTCAACAAACTCTGCAAAGAACAATAGTTTAATTCTTATAAGTAATTACAATTGTTGCTATTTCTTATATATTTTGTATACCAGTACGTGGAATATGAGTCAAAATGATTATAATTTCTGCATATTGCTGTATGTTTGAATATACATGTATGGTAATCTTGTTGGAGAAGTATCTTCTATAGACATACCCTTAGTGGTACACTGGCCAAAATGGACTCTGGTGACTGCAAATCCACTCTTCCTTCTTTGGTCCTTTTGATCTGATCAGCTATAAAAACATGAAAGTGAATTAAGAAAAACACAAGAAAACTCAACAAGGCAGGTGATTTAGAGGTGATTTAGCACTGATTGGTTGAGTATCCTGGGGTTTGATGGGTCTGAGAGAGTCATCTAAAAAGCAGTTAGGTGCTAAAACCTCTATGATAATATAAATAATAGGGATATAGAGGATATTACATGGGCGAGCGGAAATACTAACTTTATCTTCTAGTGTTCTCACGAGTGAGATATCAATTGAACATGAGAAGATAAAACTTGATCTAWTGATCTTTATATAATGATCTAATTGACTGAAAAAGTATGCAAACAATGATACCTTCACATACGAAAGATATGATATCTTTTCATGGTTCACCATATTGCATTTTCACAACTAGAGAAAACCTGGTATCTCATCGACATGTATATTATAATAAAAGAGAGTAACTGTCTTATGTCCCTCACCTACACTCATCTTTTTATATCTTCTTTGCTGTTGTGAGAAAAGGAAGAATAAAGATAATATGGATATGGATAAAAACAAATATAGAAAGAATGAAAACAGACACAAATAAAGAACAAAGTAAAAATTCTACGAATACTTTTAGTAATGTTTACAACATGAGCGGCCATGTTGTATGGGATTTTACAATCTCAAGCCGAAGGCGAGAGATTGTAAAGCCCATGCAACACGGACGCGTATGTTGTAAATTACTTGTGAAACGTTTAGGTGCATACATTCATAATCTACTAAAAACTTAAAGATAAAATTGAATTTGGCTGAGAAAATTAGGTTTGAAGTTTATGCAAATCAAGACAGTTTTGTATCAAATATTACAACACTCTTCACGGTTGTGATTTCTATTGTGTTTTCCTCATTAATTATTCATGAGTTTTACRATATGATTTAATTATGCAATCATACTGATACAACATTTGTTATCAAAAACATACCATTTAAATAAACTTATATAAATAACTGCTTGGAGAACTGACATATTTTCTCTAGAAATGCTAGTAATGTATTCTTTTCTTCATTCTAAAATACTTCAGTCATTATTAATTACCTTTTTAGTATGAAGTCCAGAGAATTTCACCATGTTTCTAGCTGCTGCTATCTGTGGTGTTCCATGGGCTTCACCATTAATTGAGCTTTCACTCAAACCAGAATTAGCAAGCTTTTTTAACTAAGACAATACATAGAATACATACGTCAGGAATGGGCAGTAGAGTGCAAGTCACATAAGCATGAAACAATTCTTAACTATGTAGGGCTAAACAAGATTTAGTTATCAACTAACTAAGAATTGAGAACAATGCTACAAAGGAATTTAAATAATTGGCATTGTGTTTATGCTTTGTTGAATTCTTAGTTAGTTGATAACTAAATCTTRTTTAGCAATACATATTAAGAATTGTTTCATGCTTGTGTGACGTGCACAAGTTAATAAGGTGATGCAGCAAGATGGGAATGGCTAGTAAGCTGACTATTTTGCTTATATAAATTTGTACTTTGTAGAGTATGTTCAAAGCTTTTGCACTAAAATTTTGTCTTTGTTTCACTCACCTTATTGTCTCCCATACTTTGACTTTCACTCATTTCACCAACTGTACCAACTTTTAAATTTTTCAATACATTTTTAGCCACAGGCCGYGGTCTTGTACTGCTGGGTCTTGGCTTTTTTACAGGAGGTTGTTTACTGGGTTTTGATTCAGACGCTTTTTTCTTTTCTTTTTTTGCACTTTTTGATAAAGGCCTTGGCCTTTTGTTTGGAGCTGGATTTGTTGGAGCATTTGTTGATGCTTTTGGCAGAAAAGCAGCATTGTCTTTTTCRGTTGGTGAAGCACAAGACAAAGTCTCCTCTCTTTGAATATCTGGTACTTCAACAACTGGTACTGGTTCTGGACATTCCTCTATTTGCTCCGTATTGTTTGGTGCTGATGTATCAGAGAGAGAATCAAGACATTTAGGAGGCGAGGAAGGTTCAGAATCAGAAGACTGCAGAGACTGTTGATTAGAAGCAGTACTTGGAGATGACAACGAGTTAGTGGCGCTAATGGTTTCTGAAAAGTGATATAAGAAAATGATTGTTAAAATATTGTCTTGGAATGCTACATAATGTACCAGTTTTGTAAAATAATAAATGGGTGGATAATTGAATGGACAAATAAATAAATAAATACATGTATTAAATGCAGTTTTTATTGGAAAATTCCTCTTCAAAGTCACTTACCTTTAATATCTTCAGTTTTCATTTGTGCGGATGCTAAAGCAGCTTCTCCTTTTTTCTGTAAATAAAGAATTTAAGGGKTTCTTAGTATGTTTAACTGCACAATTCTTTGCTATGTCAACAGGATAGGTAAACATATAGCTACTTTTAGTCACRCAATCYCTGTTCAYAAYAATTATTGTCAATCACTCTTGTCTCCCTCAACTTGTTATGGAATAGAACTATATATTCATTATCATGGATAGAACTGTCTTACATTCATTCCGTAGCAGCTGTTTCTTCCATCTACTTTATAGAAAAGTGCATCTGGTCCACGAGAGTGATGGTGTAGCATAGCATTCAGACAAGCAAGGGAAGAGCCAGATTTACTGAACCACAACAACAACAAAAAAATTATTAGCTTTATTGTATGCATGTACATGTATTGATTGTATCATACATTTTTCATGGGCCACCATAGTGAAACATAGTTTGTACAGAATATTGATCAGAATACATGTTAATCATTCTAMTACAATACCTGGTAGAATTGAAAAKATTTTGTTCTGTTAATACACCATTTTGTTATTTTAGTCATTTRCAGCAAAAATATCAAATTCTTATGAAAGTGTCCCATAAAGACTGATAATTATAAAGAGCTTGGGTATATTGTTACCTAAGCATAAAKAAGTATGTACATCACAATATTGACAATATACAAATGTCTGATAAGATGTCTGAGAATGGAAACTCTAGTTTGACATAAAAGGAAATGCCTCCATTTCAAGAAATACTATGAAACCCTTGAATAATAATAGAAGACTAGAAAATTAAGTCTTCTTCTTTGTCCAATGGACGCCATTGCCAGTAATCATGCGACACGAGAGACTTTACATGCACGTCCATTTTAACTCTACGAGGTGTCGTATTTTCTTTCTCAAAATCTCAAATTGCTGTAGGGATTTCGTACTTTAGCTATGTTYGGTTGAAATTCAAGGAGTCAAAATATGAAATGTTTAAAACTCTATTGATGGATGAGCGATGAAAAGATAAGTAAAAAGCGAGTGATTTACGCTTTTAGGACAAAACATATGAACACAAAGCCTTTTGATAAAAAATTTAAGATAAGTTCTATGATTTTTCATCGCTCTCGTAAAATCAGGAGATAACAGTCTTTAAAGTTATAAAATCAATCATCAAACCTTGACCCATTTGCAGGGAATCGAGAGATAAAATAAAGGAAAATAGTTCCTGGACATAAATTGTGATCATAGAGAGAGGTTGTAGGCTTATCTAACAATTTCTCCTCACCCTACATCGCGCAGCTTCTCATCTTGAATGACTTTTAAGATTTCCTTGTGTGTCATAGGAGAACTGGCCCGTTCTAAGACCTTTAGAGATAAAACAAAGCCTCATTAGTAAATCTCATCGACCACGTTGGGACGTCGTGGGCTATGGCTTGACCAACAACGAACGAAAAATTACCATCATAGATGCTTCTGCCCATGTCAAACCTTTAGGTTTTCGCTTGTTCTCCGGCTTTTCGCCGCTCATGGCGACTTCMGATAASCAGRATACGATTTGRTGCTCACAGCGCAATATTAGACCAATTTAAAGCAAAAGGAATCCATAGGAATTAATGATCACAAGTTGACGATCTATTTTAGAGCAAATCGCCCGCCATCTTGTGAAACCGAACGGTTCGATGTTATCACGTGACTGTCTAAGTACTCGGTCCAGACCTTCCACGGAGGAGACAGTCACGAGCTCACTGTGAAATGATTATTTCAGGCAGCTGAGTGATTATTTCCTTTTATCGTTTTTTTTATAGAGGAAATAAACCCCGAGAATATCACGATAATCTTTTTTGGAAAGTCCATGACAATGAGAAGAGAATAAAAAACAATCACTTGTTTAGACGTAGCTACGACGGAGTGGACGTAACCATTTGTGCATCAAGATTACCTCGCTTAATTTTTGGAGGGAATTCATATGATTTATAATTATATAGATTCTACTTCATATTGTAGGTTTGGCGATGCTATTCACAAGCCGTTCGTCGAATGTCATGAAATCASTTTAATTTTTATTCATTCGTTCGAGTTCCCAAACTATAACAAACGGTTATTTCTATGCAAACGGTTAGACCGTCTCACAATGCGTTTGATGTTACATATTAATACTCGCGATTATAGCTGTGTGAATCGCCTAAATGTCATTTGATTGTTTCAACACTTGAAATTTCTTCGACTGAATGAAACGAAGAGAATCCTTTAAAAATACAATTACTTCAACCAACAAAAATTTCCATATTCACGAACAAGTACGTWGATAAATCAAGTTATAATAGAATGGATTATAAATACATAGTTACAACCATTAAATCGTGTATTCGTCTTTCGATGCGTAACAATGCGTTCAGTTAATAACAATATACATTATATTGAGTCCACGAATATACCGTCGACAAACAAAAGAAAGTGAAAATCCATCCACGTCTCGAAATAATCAAAATCTTGTTATGCAAAGCAACGTTCCCTTGCTTACAAAGACGACAATGAGGTCAAACACGAGACATGCCTGAAACGGGAATATCACGGACAGCACTCGCAAATACAGCGCGGCCAACTGAAGTTGCATACCAATTTCTATTCTTCGCGCCATAGCAGTGTAGTCAAGTTAAGCTTACCATGTTCTTAATAGAAATGTTAATGTGAAATTGTGTAAATTCGACCTTACCTTCCATCATGGACACACTCCTATGTCAAAGTCTTCTGTGCCAATGCTAACCGTTGACATGCGCGTGTAGTACGATGGTATCTGACTTGATCGTGACAACTTATCTAAACAGCTATTATTGGCCAATGAGGGCATTACTTCAGACCTCCAATAAGACAACAGACTMGACGAACAAAACGAAAGTTTGCATCTGTCAAGCGTAGTGAGGAAGACGCGAGGGGAAAATTTAAAAAAATTAAATTAATTACTAGAAATATTGCCATTTTGGAAGTTTGTTCTTGTAGCTTCATTGACGTACCCGGGTGAGTCAAACATTTAATGTTAGTGCAAACATCTTTTGTGTTATTTCAATAGCATTCAATTATATTCTATATGTTCATCTATTCCTATTTTTATCTAAACAAAGGCGAAAACTGGTTTGTGGGGTCTTGTCAAACAAAGATTCAGCAAAGTATTTACAGATATCAAAAATTTACTTTTTGGACATTCAGCTTCGAAAATGAACAGTTGTTTTTCAAGATCACATTTTCAAACCTCTGTCTTTTTAACAGGATTGCATGCATATATATAAAAAATATATAAAAATCGTATTYGCTYGCGAGTCGACAAGAACCAATCCGGAAACTAAAATATCTAGGAAATCCAGTAGATGTTTTTAAAGTTTGAACATCAAGGAAAAGTGCCGTTTTCGATCTACCTAGCCTTCTTTTGGTGCTTTGCTCTAAACCTTATTTATTGATATTAATTAAACCGTCATTTATAAAACCGCGCGCAGAAATAACGTGATATAAATGCATGCTATTCGTGATTGAGACTAGGCTTGGAAATTAATTTGAAACACTGATTTAATTGACAAAACGAACCCTGTGCAAGTGGTCTTTCCTTTTGAACAATTATTATTTTACGTGCTAGTGTTCACGCAAGAACTCTCCGTGAACAGGTGAAGAAAGATGCTGGATTCTGTTAAAGTTTCAGTATTCTCAGTCATATAATAAATTGCAATAACCCTAAAGAAGTTTTTAGATTGAAATTGAAAAGGGATTGCCTTCCTTGCTGCAGATGTTGTCTTCAAGATATCATTTTGATTATATTCTAAACAACACTTCAATTTTTTTTAATTCAGTCATTGTTCCGGTTCTTTTTCTTAGAATCATTCTCTGGAGAGACGAAAGCTGAGTTGAAAAATGGCGCCACAACTTCGAGGGATGGTCGAGCGCTCAATGCGTCGAGACATTTTGCAAGCTGTTGCCGTTGCTTTCGCTATTGGATGTGGGTACAAATATTTTGTTGCTTGGCCAAGAAGAAAGAAGTATGAGGAATATTATCGYAACCTTGATCCCGAGAAAGAAGCCAAGATGATTGAAACGAATTTGAAAGCATGGGAAGAGGAAAGACARTAGATTTGATATAAGGCAATGTTTTGTGATTATGATTTAAGACATTTAAAGTTGATAAAACTGTCAATTGCASTATTTCAAAGAATAGTAAACAATAGAAACTGCAGATCATGTCCGCAGCAGCCTTTGTTCGGTGGATGGTGTGTAGGTGAAACCGGCGGCGATTCTCCGCCTTAAATACTAATGATGACAATACTCATCATACAAACTAAAAGATAACACATACAAAATTATTGAACGTCAACTTAAGTAAAACTTGTTAAAATAAAAAAGATTTCTGATTCAGCAAGTTAACAGYGCCAGTCAATTTGTTCCGCCTTGAGGCATCCTGTTATAATTGTTTCCATAGGTACGGTGTCAACGTTTTGCAACTTTTCCAGTGCAATGTTTCATTCATTGCAAAACATTTTGCTATAGTATCTGAAAGAAGCCGTACTTATGGCTCTCATTCTGACCGTTCCTTGAATTGTACTGGTATTGTAGATGCTTTACTTCTATTGGTCGCTTTCTGACAGTTCTAAATTTGGTTCAACAGTGTCATGCTAAAAGGCACGTTTCAACCCCAGACGTCTTTCCAAACACAGTATCTACTGTTCATTAGAAATTAAGCAAGTGGTTCTGTCAGAAGGAATAACTAGCTCTCTACCAACAAGATTAAGGACTCAGGAYTCGCTTTTTGTGGAGGAGTGCTGAAYCAAAATAGACTGCCCAGTGTAAGTGCRCGTCTCCTGTCCAATATTTCAACTTCCCTTGAAAGTGAAACTACTCGAGTTCATTGTGTCTAGATGCAGCCAAAACAAGGTTTCTGCCACGGTTTCTGAATGGTTCTTATTTGATCCACTGCTTCATATTTTTGCTTTTATTCTCAACGCTTTTMTACTTCCTGATTGTGGTATTCATCCTCATCAACTTTTGTAGAAAATGGCGCCACAATTACGCGGACTGGTTCAACGTAGTATGATGAAGGATATCGCACAAGCCGTCGGATTTGCTTTTGTTGTTGGTTTGGGATGGAGATATTTTTACGCCGAGCCAAAGAGAAAGAAATACGAGGATTATTACAAGAACTTTGACGCTGAAAAAGAAGCTAAAATCATGGAGGCGGAACAATTGGCAAGGGAACAATAGGTCATGTTGTTATTGGTATGCATTTCCATGTTATGTGACTTTCTATTGCGAACTAAAACAAATCTTTGAATGTGCTGCAGTTATACTAAAAGATTTTTCGTTTTTTCTGCCTTTGCGAGTAAGCTCATTGTTTCAATTTTATCTTATAGGTGTCAAATGAACCTGTGTTGAGCAAGATACATAATCATCATGTCTGCATTTCTTGTGAACTAGACTCTTATTGAAATTATTGTTGATAAAAAATTGTTCCAAATATAGCATTTTTTGTCATTTTATAAATTTACGCGATTTTGCGCACGTTTCGTGTTACAGCAGTCGAATTAATTTTTATGGGTCAGCGGACATCATTTGATTACACATGCGCGCTGTATCACACAAGTACAGTTACTTAGTGCATTACGATCAAAGGTGAGTTTTATTCGATTTTTTGATAAATTTGAGAGTTTATTGATCGAATTGAAGAGTGTACATGTYACAAAAATTACTTATTACCATCTACGTCTTGTCAAATAGGTATGTTAGTCATCGAAAACCATAGAATAATCAACAAAACAATGTGTATTTAACTATTTGCCCTATTTGGAGTGTAGCCGGTATCTCCAACTAAACCTAATATTCTAACATGGTATTTGGTGTTAACCTATCACAATTTACATTAACTTATACTATTATGATTTCTCAAAAAGCATTATATTTGTGCATGAAGTTTGGTCTAATTAATAGATCAACGTTTGCATAAGGCTCAAAGCTTTTGCCATATAGCATGGCATTGCTGTGAAACAGTCATATTGAACTTTTCTGATTCATACAGTGGCTGTTTATGTGCCAAATTTAAACTATTTTATTTGGCACAACGATAGCACAACATATAAACCAGGTTAAACTAAGCCTTAAATTTTCATTCCAGTATAAGATGGCACCTCAATTACGTGGAATTGTTGCTCGTTCACTTAAGAAAGACATAATGGTAGCTTCAGTAGCAGGGSTYGTTGCSGGATTTGCATGGAAATTTCTATATGCTGACCCCAAGAGAAAACAGTATGAAGCATTCTACAAGAATTATGATGCAGAGAAAGTAGCMAAGGAGCTAGAGGCTGATTTAGCAGCTAACTAATGAYGTAAGTATGCTTYCCAWGTAGCCTGTTTATTTGAGGAGGTTTTTATKATTTTATTACTTTATCTAATCAGGTTGGTTATATCATGAACATGCAATTATTGTTCATGTGCTTAAATTCATATATTGCTGCCAATGCATAGAAAGGAAGCTTCCCTTATAAGCGCTATACAAGAATCATGTTACTCCTTGAAATGCTTGAAAAGTACTGGAATTGAAAACTTGTTTTGAAGGGTGCTTTAAAGCCCTTGAAAATAGGGAAAATCGCTAAAACTCTTGGAAAACTCCTTGAAGCTGAAGAAATTAACATTGTGGCCATAGTTAATAGAGAGGACTAGTCCTCTCTATTAACTATGTTGTGGCAAATTAAACGTCCGCAAACATCAAAGTAATCCTTGAAAACTGCATTTTTGTGCTTACATGTAATATGTACTTGAAAAGTCCTAGAATTTTGTAGTGAAAATGCAGCACAAACCCTGACTTTAACTTTCTCTTTATTTCTATGTATTACCTAGTGTCATGCATCCCACATATTCATTTAATTGTTGTCAATAACAACTTTCCATCTGAGAAGACTTCCAGGCATTTAACCCATAATGGCCGCCCATGTTTGATAATCTCTTGTTTATATGAAATGCTTATTACATCCTCAATTATTGGATTATCAAGAAAATAACTGGATAGCCAAGACCCTTAGCTCCATAAAATGTGGTTGATGCTTCATTCAACAATACTTTATGTTACTAATGGTGATTGTTGAGGTTTATTGATAATTAAAATGATATTATAGTTTACATCAACATAGCATATTAATCTAAATTCACAATTTTTCTGATTTCCTAGGTTATTCAAGACTTTATTACTGATTGTGAAAAGTGTTGGTACAAAGGTTGAATTTTGTAACTTTTAAATCTACAATGCAATGTACTGTGTAAATTTTATATTTTGTCAAAAGGACTTGACTATCAAACTGAGGCAATATTAAAATTGTTTTGTCTTGAAATTTTTTTCTTGTGCTAAGCTAAAAACAGTGCATTCACTCAATCTATGAGTCAAGCGGTRATTATCACTAGAGTGCAAAAACTAAAATCATGAAAAAGTTTAGTAATATTRAATAGTGCTAAAGTGTACTGACTTGAGTTCACTCTCCCTTGTTTTCTGTCTTCTAATTTATGTTATATTGAGCAACTATTTAGCACTGTTTGGTTTGTCCTTTTTCATGCTTTTAGTTATGCTCTCTACTGCACAAAATGATGGGAATTATCATAATATTTAGGTTGTTTTTGGTACTATTCAAGTTTTATTGATTTAGTCTATGTACTCTACTGTTTTACCTTGAAGTCATTACCAGAAGTGGTTACCATGACTTCTTCATATTGAGTATAACCTAAAGCTATGTGGAAAGTCAAAATACAAAATCATCAAAGTAGACTGTACTGTACAAATAATTGTACTCAATCCTTCATCTTTATACCTGTAACATACTGAAAATGTCTGTATTTGATACACCTTACATAGATTTTCATCTTTCATTGTCAAAAAATGTGGTATATTTTTTGAGTTGTAATTTGTTTTCCTGCAACTCAAATTACTCATTACAATGCAGGCTAAAATACAATGGAGGTCTTAGTACATTTATAGTGCCAAAAATAATACTATTACAATTCAAACCCCCGGATTAACCTCAAGGTCTCAAGATTACAAATAAACTACATTATCTTAAAAACTACTCATTCTTTTTCTAAAAAAGAAATGTGCTCAAAAACAGAAAATTTTCTATATTATTGTACTTAAAAAAGTTAAAATGACAAAAAGAATCTGGAAAAATATGCCTTTCCTTAATGTTCCAGTACCGATCAGCACCATTTCTATTGTTAGGTTAGGATCCAGAGGTTTGGTTTTGTTGTTTTGAAGATTATCTGTTGTTTTCTCAACTTATCATGAGGTTCGTCCCAATCCGGTGATGACTGTTGCTATGTTAGGGAGCTTTTTCTCTCAGTACTACATGCTTTCATGAATAATTACGCTGAGCCTTTAATGTATTCCATTTTGCCAGCCATTGGTCCATTTGAGTTTTGAACATTTCATTGTCATGCCAAGAGTGTGTCTTGAATAATCACATCCTTTGTAACTTTGTTTACTACAATTCAGCCACTGGCTGCAAATGTAAATTTTAATAAAGTATCTATCTATCTCAATGAGAGCACATGCAACTCAAAACTGTGCACAATTTGTTAATGGTATTATTATACTACAAGACTGTGCTCAACACTTTGGTCTCCATCCCTGAATAAGTTTTGATAACTTTTTCTGTTGGAATTTATTCATCCCAAGTGCTTCCATCATTTCAAAATCCATACTTTCCAGCATATCCCCATCAATTTGATTATATGCAAATGTTTCAACAAAGTCTGACAAATGGTGTTTTTCCAGGAACTGTGTAACTTCGACAACTGACATGTCTTTTATTTGATTTGAGGCTGTATCTGGTGCAGGTKTTGTTTCATTTTGATGAGGTTTCTTGTCATTTGTTGATGCTTCTTGATGTATATTTGATGTTGGTGTGACATTCTCTTGTCTTGGTGGAACTGAATATACAGGTTCTGGTTCTTGAATGGAGGATGGTGTTGATTCAGGCTTTGGATTTTCTTTGTGATGTCTTCCCTGGACTTTGACCATAGGCTTGGGTTTCACTGGAGGTGGAGTTGGCTTTTCCAGGTAAAGTACTGGGGTTGTAGAGCTTGGCTGTTGATATGGTTCTTCAGTCATGTCTTCGTAGTCATCTCCATCATCATCAGCTTCACCCTGGCCAGCTGTATCAAAGCTACTTTTAAACTGTTCATAATCAAATTTGTTGCTTGACAAGTTGTCGATGTCTTTGTTAATATTATTGTGTTGGAGATTAACACCATGTTCATCACGTGTGGTTAACTCTTCTTCTGATGGTGACGAGGGAGTCTTGGGTACATCGTAATGGTACTCTCGGATAGTATCTCTTGAAGCAAAAACATTCAAGTATTCCATGTTTTCAATTCTCTTCAAACTTACACCATCATGAAAGAATCTGCAAACCTTCATGTACTCCTTGTCACCTACAAGAGCTCCACTTGCTGCTGTTATGGTGATCTGTAAGTCCWTGGGGCACGTGACCACAGTTCTAATCTCTCCATCCTTGGTCGTGCATACMACTGTAGAGTCATGGTAGGTCCTTTCTGCWCGAAGTACTCCMAGTTTTGAATTAAACACTGCCGCTTCACCTGTATCACTCATATTCAAAGGCTTGATAAATTGGAAGAAAAAAGGCATTTTTGTCAAATCCACAGCCTCTTTAATGTAGTACTCACGCCCGTCTGTCAATGGCTGAAACCGTGCGCAAGCATTTAGTGGTATGTGAAGAGGAAAACCACTACCGTCTTGAGCTTCAACTTTAAAATACTCTTCATTTTGTTCACGAACAACTTCTAATAGCTTAAGCTTGTCACCTGGATTCAGACAGAGGTTGTCATCTTCAGTGCTGCTGTAGCCTTGCGTYACTCGGACAAATTGAGGAATTTTCTTRCTYGTAAATACTTTCGCTAAGTCAAAAACACTTTCAATGGCTTTCATGTTTGACGGACGAATTTCTATCTTTTGAGAACAGTTTAATGGAATATGCAGCTCCCTTCTCCTCACATCTCTAGCTTGAACCTTCTCTGTATGCTTCAAGGCATGTAAGAACAAAATTTGATCTGCTCCTAGACAGGAGTCTTCGTCKGGTCCGTAGTAACCCTCTTGCACTTTTACGATTTGCGGCAAAGGAAATTTATCGACGAAATCGCTTAATGTGAATTCTTCATCGGTCCAAGTTAGGTTATCCAAGGAAATACCATCAAGTAGAGTTTTGTCATCCATGTTGAAGGTGCGATACTGTGATTTTTGAAAATACTTTAAGAATGTTGACGTCTATATTGTGTTTAGAGCACTTCCTGCTGACCAGCGGTCACACAAAGTACATCAACAACCAAGAGTCTTCAATTTCAAGTCTCGTTCGTAGCAAAGTTTCTCGATGGATTTCTCTCAATTTGAGATAGATTCCGACTGGCTGATCATTTTGATATCACCTATAGTCATCGTATTCGTTTATCCATTTGTAATTATGGCTATCATGTATTCTGTTACTGTATTTCTACGTGTATATCGACTTCGTAGACGAGCAATTTTTGATGCTTACGCGGAGAACTTTTGGGACGGAGCGAATCAAGCAGTCGCTGCTTTTGTAGATGCTCATGGCGAGTATTGGCACGGTGAGTCAGATAACCAGAACGGTCACTGTACASAATATTTACCAAAATAGGACATCAACGTCTCATCAACKTGACATGACGATCAACGGCGCTTGACTTTGTTGTAACGCTTGAATGATCTTGAATTGAATCAAAGTGAAGTTTATGATACAGGTTCTTTCTAACTCAGCTTACTAAGTATGCGAAGGAAAGCGCAATATTCATCGACTTATAATATGCTTTATAGGGTCTTTATACAACAAAATATCGTAATTAGCTTTTTAATTATGAATGTACTTTCCGTTGTATAAATTGTCCATGTACTGGAACGAGCTTTTTCTTTTACCGTGAACTGTATGAAAACTATTCACAAATTTTACAGAAATCAAATCACTGGGGAAAAGGGAAAGTGGACGTGTAAAATGAAATTTTGTGAGAAAAATTACACCCACACCCCTCCCCCATGGCTCGATCGATATTTGAAAAAATCTAAATTTACCCCCCCCCCCCCCCCCCTCCCTGTAAAAGCCTACAATGTAGTTCCAATAAAATTCTGCAGAGACAACTTTTCCATTTATCATTTTTAAGGAGAAATGTGTGAATTAATAATTTTTAAAAGGAATTATTAAGGATAAATTTTTGGTCCGTATTTAAGAAAAGACCATGGCATTCACGATCGGTAACTAATTTGCGTTTACTTGCAAAACGTGCGAGATTCGTCCTTCCGCCCATTTCTTTCCATATCTATTTTAATTCAGGGGAAAAAATCTCAAACTTTTTGGCATCCGGTACAACTGAGTATTCCTGTTATTAGTGCCAACTGTTAGCCATGGTCCTCAGCAGTCAGTTCCGATACTGATGGGATAAACGTTGACCTTTATATCTACTTATCTGTTCGAAGATAACCAGGGCATAATATACTCGGGGTATATTCACCATTTGTACTCGCTTTAGGGAAGTTTTTAAAAATACCTTTAGGATAGTCTCCCTGCAGCCGTGGTGATTTCAGTCACGTAGTGCACCCCATCGAAACACGGTGTCAAGGAAGTCTGAAGGAAGTCGACACCTGGGCTTAAACTACTTTTCGGAATAATACAAGGGTATTCTATTTATAGCACTTTACGTTCACTTTACCATCAAATGAGTCATTATTATCGCGTTTTCTAATATAAGATGGGCGGAAGGTTGATTTACAAGCTGATTCTATACGTTACCTATAGGTTATGAGATCGTTGGTTTGGACAAGTTACCCGATAAAGGACCAGCATTACTCATCTATTACCATGGTGCATTGCCCATTGATATGTATTACATTATGGCTAGAATTTATATTGAAAAGAAAAGACGATTAAGAAATGTTGTTGCTACGTTTTTGTTCCATATACCAGGTAAATCAACACTAGTTTCTTTTAATTGTATACAACTCTTATATAATCATTTCTGTGTGCGTCCATGTTTCCCTTACCCCCGCCCCCTAATTACGGGTTGCTTGTGTCCTCGAGCTCTGTGAGCAGTCATTTCACTACCTTAATATATAGTTTGTCCATCCTTAACTTCCCTTTCCCTTCCCTGTTATTCATTCATTTTTCCCTTCCGTCCCTATCACTACTCTGATATCAATATTCAATTCACTAATACAAACTGATTTCGACTATTGTTGTGTTGCGGGACAACTGCGTTGAAACCTTGCTACCAAATTGTAAAAAGCTACCAAAATGGGGCTGCACGGGTCTTGACCTTTTCATTTTCAAGCTATGATCTATTCTTATGCTGACTATCTCATCGAACAGCTCGGCTGGAAATTTGCAGACCAACGCAACTTTCACACAGGTGCAGTGGTATTTAAATCTATTAATGGACTTGGTCCCTGCTTATTTGGGCTCTCTGTATAAAAAAGATAAAATAAACGAATATCGACTTTCTATCTAAGAGTAAGGACAAACTATTCTTGTAACAATAGGCATTTATCAACGATAATCTTTATTTTTTGTTTCCGTTTCTTCTGCCTCCCTACAGGTTTTCAAATTGCTTTAGAGGTGTTTGGTGCGGTGGAAGGCCGGACCAGAGAACAATGCATAGAAATATTAAAAGTAAGTCGATAACGCTGCTTCATTAGCGAGCATTGTCGGTACCTGGACAATAGAGCGGATTTCGTATGAGTGGGAAACGGACGGTGCTGTACTGTGACCATAATCGTACTGTAACCAAATTCTAGTGCCCCATTAGTTCACCAAAATTTTGCAGGCCAGGTCCGGTAACTGTGCGGTAACCGTGCGGTAACGGTGTCACACTCATACGAAATCCGCTCTATATGTCCGTTGCTGTGCTTGTAAAATAACATCTTAACGAAATTTTGCTTTTTCAGAATGGTGATTTGCTCGCTATTTCTCCAGGAGGGGTAAGAGAGGCATTATTCTCAGATGAATATTATGGTATGATATGGAACTCTAGGAAAGGTTTTGCTAAAGTTGCCATGGCAGCAGAAGTGGTAAGTGATTGACTATCATGGCTAAATCTAAACCCAGTCTATGATGAATTTGGCTAGAAATTATTTTGTATCTTTTTTATAGCCTGTTTATCCAGTGTTTACACAGAACGTAAGAGAAACCATCAGAGCGCTTAAAATAGGTCGTGGTAAGCCCTTACTTACAAGCCAAACACTTCACAAGGAGCTTAATATATGGGGTTTAACAGTGCTTTATATTTAAGAGAGTGATTTGGAAATGAGAAAAAACGATTTTTTAGAGGCACTAAAGCGTGGGGCGTATATCAAATTTGAAATTGAAAAACATCTTAAGTTTTTACGTCACCTACTTGATTTGCAAGTGTCTGGAGAAAACAAAAGAAATCTATTGTACTNATACTATTATGATTTCTCAAAAAGCATTATATTTGTGCATGAAGTTTGGTCTAATTAATAGATCAACGTTTGCATAAGGCTCAAAGCTTTTGCCATATAGCATGGCATTGCTGTGAAACAGTCATATTGAACTTTACTGATTCATACAGTGGCTGTTTATGTGCCAAATTCAAACTATTTTATTTGGCACAACGATAGCACAACATATAAACCAGGTTAAACTAAGCCTTAAATTTTCATTCCAGTATAAGATGGCACCTCAATTACGTGGAATTGTTGCTCGTTCACTTAAGAAAGACATAATGGTAGCTTCAGTAGCAGGGCTCGTTGCCGGATTTGCATGGAAATTTCTATATGCTGACCCCAAGAGAAAACAGTATGAAGCATTCTACAAGAATTATGATGCAGAGAAAGTAGCMAAGGAGCTAGAGGCTGATTTAGCAGCTAACTAATGAYGTAAGTATGCTTYCCAWGTAGCCTGTTTATTTGAGGAGGTTTTTATTATTTTATTACTTTATCTAATCAGGTTGGTTATATCATGAACATGCAATTATTGTTCATGTGCTTAAATTCATATATTGCTGCCAATGCATAGAAAGGAAGCTTCCCTTATAAGCGCTATACAAGAATCATGTTACTCCTTGAAATGCTTGAAAAGTACTGGAATTGAAAACTTGTTTTGAAGGGTGCTTTAAAGCCCTTGAAAATAGGGAAAATCGCTAAAACTCTTGGAAAACTCCTTGAAGCTGAAGAAATTAACATTGTGGCCATAGTTAATAGAGAGGACTAGTCCTCTCTATTAACTATGTTGTGGCAAATTAAACGTCCGCAAACATCAAAGTAATCCTTGAAAACTGCATTTTTGTGCTTACATGTAATATGTACTTGAAAAGTCCTAGAATTTTGTAGTGAAAATGCAGCATGAACCCTGACTATAACTTTCTCTTTATTTCTATGTATTACCTAGTGTCATGCATCCCACATATTCATTTAATTGTTGTCAATAACAACTTTCCATCTGAGAAGACTTCCAGGCATTTAACCCATAATGGCCGCCCATGTTTGATAATCTCTTGTTTATATGAAATGCTTATTACATCCTCAATTATTGGATTATCAAGAAAATAACTGGATAGCCAAGACCCTTAGCTCCATAAAATGTGGTTGATGCTTCATTCAACAATACTTTATGTTACTAATGGTGATTGTTGAGGTTTATTGATAATTAAAATGATATTATAGTTTACATCAACATAGCATATTAATCTAAATTCACAATTTTTCTGATTTCCTAGGTTATTCAAGACTTTATTACTGATTGTGAAAAGTGTTGGTACAAAGGTTGAATTTTGTAACTTTTAAATCTACAATGCAATGTACTGTGTAAATTTTATATTTTGTCAAAAGGACTTGACTATCAAACTGAGGCAATATTAAAATTGTTTTGTCTTGAAATTTTTTTCTTGTGCTAAGCTAAAAACAGTGCATTCACTCAATCTATGAGTCAAGCGGTRATTATCACTAGAGTGCAAAAACTAAAATCATGAAAAAGTTTAGTAATATTRAATAGTGCTAAAGTGTACTGACTTGAGTTCACTTTCCCTTGTTTTCTGTCTTCTAATTTATGTTATATTGAGCAACTATTTAGCACTGTTTGGTTTGTCCTTTTTTATGCTTTTAGTTATGCTCTCTACTGCACAAAATGATGGGAATTATCATAATATTTAGGTTGTTTTTGGTACTATTCAAGTTTTATTGATTTAGTCTATGTACTCTACTGTTTTACCTTGAAGTCATTACCAGAAGTGGTTACCATGACTTCTTCATATTGAGTATAACCTAAAGCTATGTGGAAAGTCAAAATACAAAATCATCAAAGTAGACTGTACTGTACAAATAATTGTACTCAATCCTTCATCTTTATACCTGTAACATACTGAAAATGTCTGTATTTGATACACCTTACATAGATTTTCATCTTTCATTGTCAAAAAATGTGGTATATTTTTTGAGTTGTAATTTGTTTTCCTGCAACTCAAATTACTCATTACAATGCAGGCTAAAATACAATGGAGGTCTTAGTACATTTATAGTGCCAAAAATAATACTATTACAATTCAAACCCCCGGATTAACCTCAAGGTCTCAAGATTACAAATAAACTACATTATCTTAAAAACTACTCATTCTTTTTCTAAAAAAGAAATGTGCTCAAAAACAGAAAATTTTCTATATTATTGTACTTAAAAAAGTTAAAATGACAAAAAGAATCTGGAAAAATATGCCTTTCCTTAATGTTCCAGTACCGATCAGCACCATTTCTATTGTTAGGTTAGGATCCAGAGGTTTGGTTTTGTTGTTTTGAAGATTATCTGTTGTTTTCTCAACTTATCATGAGGTTCGTCCCAATCCGGTGATGACTGTTGCTATGTTAGGGAGCTTTTTCTCTCAGTACTACATGCTTTCATGAATAATTACGCTGAGCCTTTAATGTATTCCATTTTGCCAGCCATTGGTCCATTTGAGTTTTGAACATTTCATTGTCATGCCAAGAGTGTGTCTTGAATAATCACATCCTTTGTAACTTTGTTTACTACAATTCAGCCACTGGCTGCAAATGTAAATTTTAATAAAGTATCTATCTATCTCAATGAGAGCACATGCAACTCAAAACTGTGCACAATTTGTTAATGGTATTATTATACTACAAGACTGTGCTCAACACTTTGGTCTCCATCCCTGAATAAGTTTTGATAACTTTTTCTGTTGGAATTTATTCATCCCAAGTGCTTCCATCATTTCAAAATCCATACTTTCCAGCATATCCCCATCAATTTGATTATATGCAAATGTTTCAACAAAGTCTGACAAATGGTGTTTTTCCAGGAACTGTGTAACTTCGACAACTGACATGTCTTTTATTTGATTTGAGGCTGTATCTGGTGCAGGTKTTGTTTCATTTTGATGAGGTTTCTTGTCATTTGTTGATGCTTCTTGATGTATATTTGATGTTGGTGTGACATTCTCTTGTCTTGGTGGAACTGAATATACAGGTTCTGGTTCTTGAATGGAGGATGGTGTTGATTCAGGCTTTGGATTTTCTTTGTGATGTCTTCCCTGGACTTTGACCATAGGCTTGGGTTTCACTGGAGGTGGAGTTGGCTTTTCCAGGTAAAGTACTGGGGTTGTAGAGCTTGGCTGTTGATATGGTTCTTCAGTCATGTCTTCGTAGTCATCTCCATCATCATCAGCTTCACCCTGGCCAGCTGTATCAAAGCTACTTTTAAACTGTTCATAATCAAATTTGTTGCTTGACAAGTTGTCGATGTCTTTGTTAATATTATTGTGTTGGAGATTAACACCATGTTCATCACGTGTGGTTAACTCTTCTTCTGATGGTGACGAGGGAGTCTTGGGTACATCGTAATGGTACTCTCGGATAGTATCTCTTGAAGCAAAAACATTCAAGTATTCCATGTTTTCAATTCTCTTCAAACTTACACCATCATGAAAGAATCTGCAAACCTTCATGTACTCCTTGTCACCTACAAGAGCTCCACTTGCTGCTGTTATGGTGATCTGTAAGTCCWTGGGGCACGTGACCACAGTTCTAATCTCTCCATCCTTGGTCGTGCATACMACTGTAGAGTCATGGTAGGTCCTTTCTGCWCGAAGTACTCCMAGTTTTGAATTAAACACTGCCGCTTCACCTGTATCACTCATATTCAAAGGCTTGATAAATTGGAAGAAAAAAGGCATTTTTGTCAAATCCACAGCCTCTTTAATGTAGTACTCACGCCCGTCTGTCAATGGCTGAAACCGTGCGCAAGCATTTAGTGGTATGTGAAGAGGAAAACCACTACCGTCTTGAGCTTCAACTTTAAAATACTCTTCATTTTGTTCACGAACAACTTCTAATAGCTTAAGCTTGTCACCTGGATTCAGACAGAGGTTGTCATCTTCAGTGCTGCTGTAGCCTTGCGTYACTCGGACAAATTGAGGAATTTTCTTRCTYGTAAATACTTTCGCTAAGTCAAAAACACTTTCAATGGCTTTCATGTTTGACGGACGAATTTCTATCTTTTGAGAACAGTTTAATGGAATATGCAGCTCCCTTCTCCTCACATCTCTAGCTTGAACCTTCTCTGTATGCTTCAAGGCATGTAAGAACAAAATTTGATCTGCTCCTAGACAGGAGTCTTCGTCKGGTCCGTAGTAACCCTCTTGCACTTTTACGATTTGCGGCAAAGGAAATTTATCGACGAAATCGCTTAATGTGAATTCTTCATCGGTCCAAGTTAGGTTATCCAAGGAAATACCATCAAGTAGAGTTTTGTCATCCATGTTGAAGGTGCGATACTGTGATTTTTGAAAATACTTTAAGAATGTTGACGTCTATATTGTGTTTAGAGCACTTCCTGCTGACCAGCGGTCACACAAAGTACATCAACAACCAAGAGTCTTCAATTTCAAGTCTCGTTCGTAGCAAAGTTTCTCGATGGATTTCTCTCAATTTGAGATAGATTCCGACTGGCTGATCATTTTGATATCACCTATAGTCATCGTATTCGTTTATCCATTTGTAATTATGGCTATCATGTATTCTGTTACTGTATTTCTACGTGTATATCGACTTCGTAGACGAGCAATTTTTGATGCTTACGCGGAGAACTTTTGGGACGGAGCGAATCAAGCAGTCGCTGCTTTTGTAGATGCTCATGGCGAGTATTGGCACGGTGAGTCAGATAACCAGAACGGTCACTGTACASAATATTTACCAAAATAGGACATCAACGTCTCATCAACKTGACATGACGATCAACGGCGCTTGACTTTGTTGTAACGCTTGAATGATCTTGAATTGAATCAAAGTGAAGTTTATGATACAGGTTCTTTCTAACTCAGCTTACTAAGTATGCGAAGGAAAGCGCAATATTCATCGACTTATAATATGCTTTATAGGGTCTTTATACAACAAAATATCGTAATTAGCTTTTTAATTATGAATGTACTTTCCGTTGTATAAATTGTCCATGTACTGGAACGAGCTTTTTCTTTTACCGTGAACTGTATGAAAACTATTCACAAATTTTACAGAAATCAAATCACTGGGGAAAAGGGAAAGTGGACGTGTAAAATGAAATTTTGTGAGAAAAATTACACCCACACCCCTCCCCCATGGCTCGATCGATATTTGAAAAAATCTAAATTTACCCCCCCCCCCCCCCCCCTCCCTGTAAAAGCCTACAATGTAGTTCCAATAAAATTCTGCAGAGACAACTTTTCCATTTATCATTTTTAAGGAGAAATGTGTGAATTAATAATTTTTAAAAGGAATTATTAAGGATAAATTTTTGGTCCGTATTTAAGAAAAGACCATGGCATTCACGATCGGTAACTAATTTGCGTTTACTTGCAAAACGTGCGAGATTCGTCCTTCCGCCCATTTCTTTCCATATCTATTTTAATTCAGGGGAAAAAATCTCAAACTTTTTGGCATCCGGTACAACTGAGTATTCCTGTTATTAGTGCCAACTGTTAGCCATGGTCCTCAGCAGTCAGTTCCGATACTGATGGGATAAACGTTGACCTTTATATCTACTTATCTGTTCGAAGATAACCAGGGCATAATATACTCGGGGTATATTCACCATTTGTACTCGCTTTAGGGAAGTTTTTAAAAATACCTTTAGGATAGTCTCCCTGCAGCCGTGGTGATTTCAGTCACGTAGTGCACCCCATCGAAACACGGTGTCAAGGAAGTCTGAAGGAAGTCGACACCTGGGCTTAAACTACTTTTCGGAATAATACAAGGGTATTCTATTTATAGCACTTTACGTTCACTTTACCATCAAATGAGTCATTATTATCGCGTTTTCTAATATAAGATGGGCGGAAGGTTGATTTACAAGCTGATTCTATACGTTACCTATAGGTTATGAGATCGTTGGTTTGGACAAGTTACCCGATAAAGGACCAGCATTACTCATCTATTACCATGGTGCATTGCCCATTGATATGTATTACATTATGGCTAGAATTTATATTGAAAAGAAAAGACGATTAAGAAATGTTGTTGCTACGTTTTTGTTCCATATACCAGGTAAATCAACACTAGTTTCTTTTAATTGTATACAACTCTTATATAATCATTTCTGTGTGCGTCCATGTTTCCCTTACCCCCGCCCCCTAATTACGGGTTGCTTGTGTCCTCGAGCTCTGTGAGCAGTCATTTCACTACCTTAATATATAGTTTGTCCATCCTTAACTTCCCTTTCCCTTCCCTGTTATTCATTCATTTTTCCCTTCCGTCCCTATCACTACTCTGATATCAATATTCAATTCACTAATACAAACTGATTTCGACTATTGTTGTGTTGCGGGACAACTGCGTTGAAACCTTGCTACCAAATTGTAAAAAGCTACCAAAATGGGGCTGCACGGGTCTTGACCTTTTCATTTTCAAGCTATGATCTATTCTTATGCTGACTATCTCATCGAACAGCTCGGCTGGAAATTTGCAGACCAACGCAACTTTCACACAGGTGCAGTGGTATTTAAATCTATTAATGGACTTGGTCCCTGCTTATTTGGGCTCTCTGTATAAAAAAGATAAAATAAACGAATATCGACTTTCTATCTAAGAGTAAGGACAAACTATTCTTGTAACAATAGGCATTTATCAACGATAATCTTTATTTTTTGTTTCCGTTTCTTCTGCCTCCCTACAGGTTTTCAAATTGCTTTAGAGGTGTTTGGTGCGGTGGAAGGCCGGACCAGAGAACAATGCATAGAAATATTAAAAGTAAGTCGATAACGCTGCTTCATTAGCGAGCATTGTCGGTACCTGGACAATAGAGCGGATTTCGTATGAGTGGGAAACGGACGGTGCTGTACTGTGACCATAATCGTACTGTAACCAAATTCTAGTGCCCCATTAGTTCACCAAAATTTTGCAGGCCAGGTCCGGTAACTGTGCGGTAACCGTGCGGTAACGGTGTCACACTCATACGAAATCCGCTCTATATGTCCGTTGCTGTGCTTGTAAAATAACATCTTAACGAAATTTTGCTTTTTCAGAATGGTGATTTGCTCGCTATTTCTCCAGGAGGGGTAAGAGAGGCATTATTCTCAGATGAATATTATGGTATGATATGGAACTCTAGGAAAGGTTTTGCTAAAGTTGCCATGGCAGCAGAAGTGGTAAGTGATTGACTATCATGGCTAAATCTAAACCCAGTCCATATTGAATTTGGCTAGAAATTATTTTGTATCTTTTTTATAGCCTGTCTATCCAGTGTTTACACAGAACGTAAGAGAAACCATCAGAGCGCTTAAAATAGGTCGTGGTAAGCCCTTACTTACAAGCCAAACACTTCACAATAAGGAGCTTAATATATGGGGTTTAACAGTGCTTTATATCTAAGAGAGTGATATGGAAATGAGAAAAAACGATTTTTTAGAGGCACTAAAGCGTGGGGCGTATATCAAATTTGAAATTGAAAAACATCTAAAGTTTTTTACGTCACCTACTTGATTTGCAATGCATTGTGGAATAAGTGTCTAGAGAAAACAAAAGAAATCTATTGTTACTGCAAAACATACCAAACATGTCGTACACTGTACTGGTAATCTAAAAACATTTATACATTTTGTAGGTTTTTTTCGAAAACTGTATGAGTGGACAAAGCTTCCTCTTGTGCCACTTTATGGAGGATTTCCTGTCAAAATGAGGTACGCATACCAAAATATAATAAAATTCTTAATAAAGTGGGACCTGGTTATATGCTCTGAGGTTCTTATATTCGTGCGAGCGAAGTTTCCGTAATTAACTAATAGTCAATTTTGAACAATTTTCTCCCTTGTTTTATTAAGGACTTTTATTGGGGACCCGATTTACTGTGATCCCAGTGATACAAGTGAAGAGCTTACTACAAAGGTATGAAATATACTGATTATTTAAATTTGAAATCGCAATAAAATCGTCCGGCTCACTGAAAATAATGATGATATATTTAACATAAAGGCAAGTATATTCTATGATGCAGGTCCAGGATGGGATCAAAGATTTGATAAAGAAACATCAAAGAATACCCGGTAGTATCTTTCAAGCATTACGGGATCGTTGGACCCATAGAAGAAGGCGCTCAACGATCAAGAACAAAAAAGAATAAGCCAATGGGCATCTTAAGAATTATTCGTTTTTTTATATATATATATTAGTGAAATTTGTCTCTCTTTCACTACATTTTTATTACTTATTTTATTCATATGTAGATATATTTTATCAAAGCAATGAATTGACATACAGCTGTTTGCAATAATTCTGACCCCCTCTGCCATATTTCATATATATATCAAACTGACCTTTAATATTATGGGATATCATGACTGATATATTTTTTGAGTAGTCCAGAATGAGTACTTTCTAAAAAAAATATCAGCAATGGTATCCCATAATTTCTAAGRCTRYKYTGATATATATGAATATTAGTGTAGGGGGGTCAGAATTATTGCAAACAGCTGTACATCAGAATGAAATACATTAATAATCATATATGAAATTGTCCGTGAAACCCAGGACGTCTAAATTATTTGATTCTTACAAAAACGACTGTGTTTTAACAGCTCATTAATTTTATACAATTTTAATGTTTTAAAGATTCTTAATATATTAAATGGGAACAAAAGAAAGAGAATTTCGTGTACCGGCAGTGAATTTCGGGACATTTTGGAAACTAGAGTAATTGAAATACTTGCCATCAGAAATTCATTTTTACATTAAATCTGAAAATAGCTAATTTTTATCAGTCGATATTTTGCAGGTCAAAATATTTTCAAAGGACTTACTAATATATTACGTTTTATACAAATTGTATATGAATTGAATTCCAACCATGAAATCCAGAGCATGAAATTTTRATAAAAAGCACTTAAAGTGCATTTTAATATTATAATATATTATTGTAAACTTCAAATTATATTTTCAAATAAAGAAAGTTAGTTAAAGCTTGCTTGTTAAAATTTAATTGCTATCTTGTAGGATGATGAAGTCCAGACTTGGACAAGGGCGGATCCAAGGAGGGACAAAGGGCGGCTTTAGCTCCTTAGATCATAAAAAGTTAACTGTATATTACTTTCAATGTTGTTTATTACAAATAAGCGCATTTAGTCCCCCCTCCCCTTAACATTTCAGCTGGATTCGCCCTTGAACTTGGACTTGATAGGTTTAGGCCGTTGTGTCGCGAATGAAGTTGGTCATCTGTATTGGATAACCCAGTTCACCACTTGATGTCTGTTTTGTTTTGTTTTGTTTTGCTTTCTTTCTTTTTGTTTTTGTTGTTGTTTTGTTGTTGTTGTTGTTGTTGTTTACTTTTTACTTTACGCTAGTTTCTACCCTATACACAACACCATAAGTACTATGTTTTTATTCATTCATTTTTCTTTTCTTTTTATGTCAGCTGCTTTTATTTCGTTTCATTAGTTTGGTAGTTCTTTAGTCTTGTACGCGTCTAATCGATCATTTGAGAAGATTTGCGGACTTGGTTTTCAGCCAAGGAAAAGTTTCCTCAGGTATTTCACGTGACTTCCGGTGCTTTACAAAAGAGGGTTCACCAAGGTCACAGCAATGAAAAAACTTTACTTTGTATTACCATCACATCATAAGGGCATTCATTCTCATTATACACCATGAGTTTTCAAAATTTTGTCGGTCTGTTGGTTTTAATGGTCTGTCTTCGGGCAGAATCTATGTACCATAGACAAACAAAGACGGTTTCAAATGTTCAAAACCATTTTGTCTTCCCCGGAACGAAATGGTGTGGGAAAGGTAATAACGCAATGGCGTATAACGATCTAGGTGAGTGAAATAATCCACATATGAAATTCGTGTTTACAGAATCAATAATTACAGTTGTTTTTAAACTTTTACCAAGGCAAACATAACAGAACGGACGACTGTTGTCGCACTCATGATCATTGTCCAACCTACATTCCTGCGTTTAAGCGACGTTATGGACTACTTAATTTCAATGCCATGCAAATGAGCCACTGTTCGTGCGAGGAGAAGTTGTTTGACTGCCTTTGGAAACTAAAGAATCCCGTGTCAACTGCTGTAGGCCGCTTATACTTTAATGTGTTTCGYAATCCATGCTTCAAGCTGGTCGAGACTCGAGTTTGCGTGAATTGGATCTTTGATTGGTGGAACTTCAGTTATTATTGTGGRAAATATGGCACKCAAATCAAGGCAAAGAAAATTTGGCTAAATAACTATTTGAGGAAGTTCCCTGACAATGAYAATAGTATAAATCGAACAACTACTGTAGGCATGCCTGGACACTCAACAGGAATAAAGGTTGATGCCAATAATAATACTGCTTCAACTACACTT